GGCGGCGGGTACTGATGCGAGTTATCCAGTCTCTACTTGGATTGTTTTGCCTACCTTAGTTTTATTTACTCGCCTAGTTTAGTTTAGGTTTTTATTTGTGATTCAATGAATATGGCCTAGTCGCCTTGGATGTAAACGTTTCACAATTGCCAAAAGGTTGCTAACGATGGTTTGTATCCTCCTTTTGAATAATTTTTATTTTTAGACTTGTTCCCTTGCTGCACTTCGTATCTATACTGAGGTGCAGATGTTAGAGAGTATTGTTGTCCCCTTGGTTGAAGAAAACAAATTTTTATAAATCCTTATGCAGTAAGGCCTTGTTTTCCTCCAAAATTGTTGTTGTCGGATTGGATGAAATTGTTTTTCCTTCGTCTAGTGGGGATGCTATTTATTGATCATTGGCTCTACATTTATACAAGTAAGATGTGCAGGGGGGAGGTCAGCTGCTTTGGGTTTTTTTTTTAAATTAATAAAAGCTTCATGGAAATTCAAAAATTAATTTGGATTCTGCTAATTTTATTGATAAACAGATACGATGTTATATATTGATCATTTTGTAGTTCTGTTAGCTAGGATAGACCCCCAGTTGCTAAAAAATTTTGACTCGCAAAAGAATCGAAAAAGTTTACTAAGAGAATGTATTCGCACTTGGGTGAAGACCAAAGATGAATAGAGCCAAAGCTTGCAAGGTACTATTTGCAATTGGGTGACGCTACAATGGATCTGTTCGCAATTAACCCTATATTCTATTGACCAGAAAACATGTGGATACAAATCCCACGAATTGTCAACTATGATATCCGACATGATTATGGCGAGATACAACACATTGCCAACTAGGTTTCTATAAATATCGCCCCCACTTCCGCTTTTTCCATCTTTCATCGACTTGCTCATTCAACGAGTGTTCATGGGCTTGCATTCACTCGCACCTAATTCCTCCAAAATTGCTCTGGCATGTCTACTCGTGAGATCAACACGTCAACATCGTGATAGAGGTTTCACTAAAAAAAAAAAACGTAGCGTCATCTAAAATTCAGAAGATGTAAGTGCTAATAAAAAAGTTTAGAAGGTCCAAGTTGATACGTTGTCATAGAGACTTCATCTACACATTATAAGCCCTTTTTGATCCAATATCATCTTCTTTGTCTTGACGTGCATTATTTTTCTGTTATATCTCTTCCTGCATAGCTTTTTTTTTTTTTGAATTTATTTTGTTTTGTAATTTGCTTCCAATAATTTTTTTAGGCTCGGCTGAATAAAGATTACAGATCTCATAGACATCTCACAAAGATTACCATTCTTTTGAAGTTACTAATAGAAATCAAGGGGAATACAATTAGGGTTACAAATCTTACCAAAAACCCACAAATAAGCCCTCTTAATCTCTCCAAATGGCTCCAACAATAGAAGCCCCAAATCTTCTCTTTCTTCAGCTCAAAATCTTCTCCCTTAAACCCTAAAAACGAGTTAAGGATATTTATACAACTCTCAAACGAAACGGGTCTGGAACCCAGAATCAGCCCTAAACCGCTTCGGCGGTCGACCGTGAGACTGCCACGGTCAACCGCATCAACTCCAGAGACTTCCCCACAACAGCAGAACCTTCCGCGGTCGACCGTCACGGTCGACCGCCAGAGATCCAGAGGCACAGTGAGGTCCCGTGCACGACTTCGGTCGACCGCCAAAGACCCGCGATCGACCGCCAACCTGTCAAACTGCTATTCCTGAGCCCAAACCTGCTATTCTTGCCAATCCTACAAATCTTCACCTCAGCGAACGTTTTGCCAAAACTGAGCCGATACCAAACACCCTACGTATCAACCGGTAGCATCTGCAAGACTGCCTACGTATTCTCTTGCCCAAGGAATCAAGCCGAACGTAGTTCATCCAAATGGCCGCCAACGACCTCAACATCGAAGAATGTTCAATAAATTCAAACAATGACCAAACTTCACACCTGGAACCACTTTGGTCAACATATCAGCAGGGTTGTCCTTAGTGTGGACCTTCTCCAACGTGACATCACCATCATCCAATACATCACATACAAAATAAAATCTGACATCAATGTGCTTCGTGCGTGCATGGTAAACTTGGTTCTTCGCCAAATAGATAGCCGACATGCTATCACAATATACCTGAATGGTCTCCTGTACAATCCCCAAATCATCCAACAAACCATGTAGTCACAAAGCCTCTTTCACAGCTTCAGTCACCGCCATATACTCAGCATCCGTAGTAGAGAGCTACTGTAGACTGC